TACATTATTTTTATTTTTATTTTTTTGCGGTACGCGGGCCTCTCACCGCTGTGGCCTCTCCCGTTGTGGAGCACAGGCTCCAGACGCGCAGGCTCAGCGGCCATGGCTCACGGGCCCAGCCGCTCCGCGGCATGTGGGATCTTCCCTGACCGGGGCACGAACCCGTGTCCCCTGCATCGGCAGGTGGACTCTCAACCACTGCGCCACCAGGGAAGCCCCGCATACATTATTTTTGACATGAGTAGATTCCCATACATAATGTTCTTTAACGAAGTGTCTTGAACACTTTTCCCTATTGAACATGTAGATCTAGCTCATTATTTCTAACTGCTGCATAGTATTCCATTGCATGGATGTGCCTAGTTTATTTTCCCAGTACCCCGGAGAGAGAGTTTCCAGTTTTCCGCTATTACGAACAATGCTGCCATTCATAACTTTTCCAAAAAAGCCACAGATCTTTTTCCCACTACAGAGTTGAAAAGTTTCTACCGGAAGGACCCACATAATGAACCCGCGAAAGCATGGCCAATTGCCAATCCAACTGTAGTCGCTTACGCTCGAACATCTGTGGGGTTTTTCCTCCGGGTTTGATTTGTGTCTCTTCGGGGAAACGCGGCGGCACCACGGCCCCCGCCAGGCGGTTAAACAAACGAACAAAACACAAACCTGGAACCCCGAGTCTCAGAAAACGAGTTTTGTCTTTACAACGCACTGGTTCCTCTGGGAGTTGTAGTTTTGCTGTCCAGCGGAGCCGCCTTCTCCCCTTACCTCCCTTCTCGAAGGGGAGAATCACTGCCCTTTAGGAAAGCGCTGCCCTGACCATCACCGCTGGCTCAGGCGATAGCTCCGAGCTGGGCTTTTGGGGAGGACAAGCCAGGGCGGGCGGAGGGCTGAAACTACATTTCCCAGGGTGCGCCGCGAAGGCACGCACAGCCCCGCGTTAAAGATCCTGCTGTGCCGAGAGCCGGCGGAGGCACGTATGTCAGACCGCGCGGATACCGGTACGGCACACCCAGTGTTCTGCGGCGTTTCTCCGCCTCCCTTCCACACTCTTGGACCCGCAGGACTGAGCCGGGCCACTGGCTGCCTGGTTCCTGACAGGGAAGAGC